TTGTGTTTATCAGAAACCATCAACCCAACCAGACTCTAAGTCTTTATACTACTGGCTGACTCTGCAGCACAATCTCCCATCAGGCATTTCTGTGTCATATATTATGGCTGAATAAGGAAGTCCTGATGACGCTGTTATCTCACATGTTCTAGAACAGAATAAGTTTGTTAAAAAAAAAACAAAACACAGATCTGTGCATGTCCTCTGTTGGAGAAAAACCTAATGTTTAGGTTATAAACTTTTTTATTTAAAATTGGTCAGAATGATGTCCAGAAAAAAGAGAAAACATTGGTTTATTTTTTTGTTGATTATCAGTGTGATTCTGGGCTATGAAATGTAAGATCCACAGAGGAAACAGAAGACCAGCCTTCAAAATGAAGGACAGTTACATTTGAAGTCCTTCATGAAGTACAGCTTTATCACCACCAGGTGATTCTTGTCTGTCAAACAACCTCTGTAGAATATGTGCTGGGTTTGACCTCTGTGACCTCTAGATTGTTTTTTATATCAGTCGGGGGAATATTGTCTGACGTGAAACAAGTCAGTGGTGTAGAAAAGTTGTTGACCTCTGACCTCAGGACAGTGAGCTAAGAGCTAATGATTTCGTTTCACTTGACAGAGTATCAGTTATTTCCTAATACTTTTTTATTAAATAACTCAAACTTAGAGATACATTCAAGTGAGCAAATAGTTAATATATACATGTTCATATGAAAAGTTGGCTTATATTTTGTGTGTATTTGTAAGTATTTTCATAAGTTTTATTATTGAGACATGTTTCTACCACAACAACAACGATGTAATTCAATCTCACTCTTGGGAAATTCCAGGTTCCATTGTTTTAACTAATGGAGAGTCTAAAAACAGATGTAATATCTCATCAACACAGTCTGAGTTTCAGCCTGGCGCTGGTGGAGCATCAGGAGACGAAGACGTCGTCTTGACAAACACATCACCTGCTGTCTGAGGCCTCCGCTCTCTAAACAAGCCACAGCAGCGGGGGGTCTGAGCAGAGAGCTCGTTGATCTGAGGGCTGAACAGAGTGAGCGAAGACCACAGCTGCTCCAGGAACAGATCCCAGATCAGAGGAAACCTCACTTTAACTTGGATGGAAGTGGACGAAGGAGGAGTCACGTTTTTCATTGTCCGTTCTGTCCAGTCGTCAGTTGAAGTCTTGACCTGGTCGTGTGTTGGTACCAGGTCTCTGTGGTGACTGGGATGGTTCTGTTTGTGGACCAAGGTTTTTACAGAGGTTGAGGGAAATAAAACAGAAAAGAGTTCACCAACCAATCAGGAGGCTGTGTGCTGAAGCTCCACCCACACAATACATCTTCACTGATGTAACAGCAGAGAATCTTTCCTGTCCAAAATCCTTTCCAACAGCACATTGGATCTGGTCCTGGTACCACCTGCAGAAACACACACATGGTTTCTTTGACAATCTTATGACCGTAGTTTTTTTTCCCAGTACTGTTTTTTCCAGTAAGGTCAAAATACTATCTGGAGTTCCTGGTATTTGTACCTGAAGTATAAAATCACATGCTCCCTGGTACTAATAGTCATAGTGGAAACTAATCCTAAAACTGTAGTTTCTTATCGTGTTGCTCATTTTATGCAGGATATTCTCTACAGGAAATGTGTTTTGTGGTTCTGTAGTGCAGTGGTTATCATGAAGAACCACGTACTCGCTGTGAGTTGCAAAGACAGAGACTGTGAATTTTCATTTCAATTTGTCATTTAGTTCCTGGTACTGTTGTTGTCATACAATCAGTTCTAGGTGCTATTTCTTCTTACCTGGACCTCAGGTAAATATCCCGATGGACTGGTTCTCTTCATCTATCTTCTCATGTCTGTCTTCAGGAGGCCGTCTCTGCTCCTTCTCTCCGTGCATCGAGCAAGTCCAGAGAACCTGTGAGGTTCTGGCCGACCAGGGCTTCCAGGAGATCAGTACCTTAGAAGTTCTACTGAGAGTCCATGACGTCCGCACCGTCTCCCTGCCATTGCCTGACTTTGGTCCCGATGCTTCTTCTCCGGGAGAGCCTGGTACCAGAGACGTGGTCCAGAACCACCCAGCAGTCACCCTGAAGACCACCACCACCCCGAGAGAAATACCAGGCCACACAGGTTACCTCACCTTCGCCACCAAACCCAGGACCTAAACCTCACACCTCACTGTAGATTTTATTTTTAATTTTACAACTTAAAGTTCTTGTTTGTCAGCTTGAGATAATCCAGGAGAAAAACCTGGTCCCTCCTGGTCCTGGTCCTGGGCCTGTTCGGTACCACAGCAACAAGAGGATTTACACTGTTCTCTAAGATTTATCCTCCTGTAACTGGGCACTGAGTTGTTGCTTGGATCAAGTATGATTAAAAAAAAAAACACAGTTTCTTTGTAAAAAGAAAAATCTTTTTTATAAAAGTTTTTTTTATTAAATCATAAAGAGAATACACTTTTATTGTTTTTGTACAACAGAAATCCTGGAAATAAAAGTAAAAATAAAGTTTCAAATGTAACTGGTGACTGACAGGTTTTTGACCCTAAACATTTTTTAAATTCTCTCTGTGTCCTACGTCAGAGCAAGACATTCATTTGAGTTGTCTTTCTTTACAGAAATGTATTTACTTTTTTTGGTTTCAGATATTTTTGTCTTGCCAAATTTAATTTCCTTCGTTTTTTGTAGCTCTTTGTGTCTGTTTTGTTAACATTTACTGTTTGTTATTCACTGGTCAGACCTAATGTTGGGATCAGTCAAAGTCTGTTTGGTTTAAATGACATTATCACTTTACCAGTTTATGTTAGTTCTAGTTCTTTGAATTTCTCCAGGGAATCAGTGATGACTTGAGTTTTTTTAATAGTCCAAACATCGGTCGTCTTCAGCCCAGGATGTTCTTTTATCAGACTTAACAGAATTTGTTACTTTTATTGATTTTGAAAAAAGACGTTTTTAAAGACAGTTTGAGGAACTGTGGCTTAAACAAACAGAACCACCTCTGTTTGACCGTCGTCTTTGTTCAGACCTGACTTTACTTTATGGTCAGGTTTCAAAATAGAAACCATGTAAATAAATGATTGATGACGGTGGTTGGAGTAAAGTCGATAAGTCATTTCAGCAGACGTTAATGGAGCTGCCTGTACGTTCCATCAGCTGTGCTCACATCACTGTACTGTACCGTCTGAAACCATCACTGAAGGAAGTGTCTCGTAGGAAAAGAAATGTTCTCTCCTACAGTGGCCTCTGTTTCTGTTCAGTACGGAGGAAAGGTTCCTGTGAAGATTAGATATAATCTGGTGTGAGAAAACTCACAAAACTTCCAACATATTTGGTCTCCATCTCCAACTTAAATTATTATTATTTTATTTGTGCAGATGGAATCAGATACCAGCTCCTAAAAACCTGCATTTACATATGTTAAAAGTTAAACAAGAACTCGTTCAAAGGACAGATGCTTCAGAAATGTCATGTTTGACGTTGAGCTGATAAACGGTCATACACTGAGATGATGATGTTGTTAATCTGTCAGCAGATTAAATCTCTCGTAAACACGTCCAGTACTAATGATCCTGGTCAGCCTTTGGAGCAGTGAGTTGTGTAATTGAGTGGGAGCAGAAAAAGAAACCTTGTGTGAATGGTTCCACTCTCACACCAGGACCTGCTCAGGGTCCAGTAATCTCTGGGCTGTGAATAGAAGCTCTGAGCTGCTGGAAATCCTCAGGCCCTAATCCGCTTGGACTCAACCTTTACTGGAGTCCAACCTCAGCTCAGGTCCAGGTCTCAGGGCCACCAGAGTGAGGTGAGAAGGTGTGGAAGGTCTCGGCAGTCACAGTAGCTTGAACCAAACTACACATGCTTTTTTTTTCACCACTGTTCGTGGTGTCCAGTACCGATGTTTTCCAGTTGAGTCTTTAAAACACTGATTGAAATGACACCTGTCTGTGATCAACTCTA